AAATCGGGAAAATGCGCCATTTTATAGGATGTCTAATATGTGGAAGGAATTGACTCTCTCCCAAGATTTTATTTAGACAGGCTTCACCATTATTACTTAGGCAGAATCTTGAGTCTTTACTCAAGATCCTGCCTAAGTAATGATGTGAATATCTTGTTTAATAGACTTTTCTATTAAACAAGATATACATACATATAAAATCAGAAATATAAAATAGATTAATGTAACTTTTTACTATACGATGGGTTGTAACTTGTTGCTTACAGGTCACGAACCATCTTATGGTTTTTTTACCAATTAAACTACAATAGACAGGTAAGTATGTTGTTGTAAGGCCGATTTCCCACCCCATGTATCATCATATTTAATACAAAATGCACCCAACATATCTTGCTTTATTTTCTAAACGTTATGTTTTTATTTATTTTTAAGCATTTAGCTGCTAGATGTTTAAATCTAAAAAAAGTTTACTAGAAAAAAATCCACGCGGACCAGGCTGCCCGTCCGCTGCCTGGTCCGCATGGATTTTTTTCTAGTAAACTTTTCTTTAGATTTCTAACTAAGTTATTAATTTAACTACTCGACACAATTAATCGAGTGGCAGTAGAGGTTTATTTGCGATTTGCAGGAATGCAAATGTGCCACCATCAGCACAATAGGAAATCACTAAACTAATCAGGATTGTATCACATGCCACTACATTCAATACATTTACTAATCAACATGGTAATATTGAGGCTAATTTCGTTGGTAGAATCGAGGCGAGACGTGAACTGACACGTTCATTAGTTTGGAAGCTGGATGGCTAGACAAGAGAAACACAGTGTAGGTTTATGTTCTGTGTATTGTCGTGATTGATTGAGACTTTATTTTAATAGATTTTGTTTTTGTTAAATTCTCCCTTTTCAGGGAAGGCAAGGGGAACAATGCCCATACAGCCTTGTCCTAAGTTAAATTATTCTGTTTTTCATTTTACATTAGAATGTCGGTGTGACGCATTATAATGTTTCTTGAAGTGTTTGGCACGAAATGTATCGAGCTGGCTTTTTCGATAAGTTTCTGTGAGTACTACAGTAGTCTGTAGTCAATACTACAGTAAATTTCTCACGTCCACTTGATCGGAATAGCGTATATTTCGACGATTCTACTAATTCTTCAGTTACGCAGACAGTTGTAACACAAAATCACACCAATTTTATTTCACAATATCCACTCTGAACGAATTTGAAAATAATTAAAATAAGACGCCAACCACACTCGATCAAATCCCGCCAAAAACTTAATAGAATTATTAGTACTTAGGCTTGCCAGATGGCCAGGAAAGCCGGGATTGTCCCGGAATTCTGCGTCTTGTTCCGTGTCCAGTAATTAGACTTTATTGTGTGAGGAGCTCGATGGCGCAAGTGGTTAGCGCTTTCGGCTGCGATCGTTGAAGTTAAGCAACTTTCGCAGTGGTCGGTCATTGGATGGGTGACCAAAAATTTACTATCTCGAGCTCCTCCGTGCTTCGGAAGGCACGTTGAGCCGTTGGTCCCGGCTGCATCTGCAGTCGTTAGCACCCACCAATCCGCACTGGGCCCGCGTGGTGGGTCATGGCCCAATCTCCCTATTCCATCCATAGGGAAGGCCAGTGGGGACATTAATAGGCTGATGATGATGATGATGTGCCGGATTCCGATAATGTGCTAGTTTCGTAACAAAATAAACTAATAACGAATGACTGGGCTGCTTGATGTTTCAATTCTGGGGGGTGATGGGGGGTTTGGTTTGATGCTTTATTTTTTAGGGGGGAGGGGGGTGCAAATGTCCGGGACATTGATAAGCCAGCATCTGGCAACCCTATTGGTACTGTAAGGCCGTTTGTCCACCGCGGCTATAACGAGATGGACGCCGAAAAGTATTGACATAACAATTTACTATAGTCGTTTTTCCACCGCAAACCCGTCACGTCATCTTGATCTTATAAAGAAATTATCTACCCCCGTACATAGTAGAGTCTGTACGGAAAGAGAATGGGATTTAGATTGGAGGGCGCTGTAGTGCTTTTCTACCGTATTTGTAAGGTTTTACCCCTTTTAGACACGATTATATACAAAAAACCGCAAGAAATCACAACAACAAACAAATCCGTATCAATACAAAACTTTGACGTTTTACAGATTGCTGGGTTTGATTGCCAAATAAAAATCTTAATGTTAGTTCCGTTTTTCGCCACGCCCATTCTCTTTCCGCTCAGACTCTATCCCCTTATTAATAAACGTGGAATAAGCTGAGACTAGCTACGCCGTGTTTCGTTCATATCACTTAAGTGCCATTTTTCATTTACCAACAACAAACGGACAAAACATGTGGTAACTAATCCTAGCTTATTCTTCGGGTAGTGTGTAGAGTATCCCAGCTTATTCTTCGTTCATTAATGAGGCGGAAGAGTCTAGAGCAGGTTAGTACAAGTATATTGACGACACAAAATTAATACCAGCCAGTTGTTTTATACTATGTTTATACTTTAAACGGACAGTTAGGTAGGTACTCAGATTACCAAACTAACTGATTGAGGATAGCAATGGGATATTTTGGCGCTTTTGTTGATGTTGTTTTGAAGTTTCTAATTGAACTAACAGTTCAATTTATTATTAAATGTAAATTACGTAGGATGCTTTAAGAAATCATATTTAAATGTTTATTTGCGACTAACACTTAGCTTAAAACAAAAAGGGTAGATACGGCACTAGCCTCACAAAAGTGATTCGCATAAATTGTGGTCCACGACCCTAATCGCTTTAGTCACAACTTGACATGCAAACGACGTACATGTGAACGCCAAAAAGGAATATTGCTACTATTTTGTGTTTCTATGATAAAACAATGCCTAAGTGTGTTTTTGAAAAGTGCTCAAATTGCTCAAGAACTAAAAATAAAACCCACGGCATCACTTTTCATTCGTAAGTACTATAAAATATATTTTTTCATAAAAATTGCTGTTTGTTTTGAATCTTATTCGGTAGTGACGTCGAGTACTGGTCGCGTGATTGGTCGGTATTGCAGTGACGCAGATCTCGCTGTCCCGTTCGCGCTGCTATGGGATCAGAGTTTTTGTTTGATGTAAATATGAGCGTACCGTATCTACCCTTTTTGTTTTAATCTAAGGATTAACACGCATAATTAGATAACGGCGATGACAATTGCTCAATGTTACCGTTAACGATTTTTTTTTCTGGACACAATGCTAACCTAACCTACTGTGAACTCAAGAACCCAAAACCCTAAGAATGTTAATAATAAACCGACGATTCTTTTCGCAATCTTACTGAGACGACTCGCATTTCCTCAAAAATCTCCTTTCAGTTAGATTGAGAAATATATTTATATATGGATATATATTTTACTTAACTCGTTCAATTTACGGCTGCATTCGCACCAGCGTTTTTCGCTATCCGGGCGAGAATCCAGGCGAAGGATTTAGTGGAAGGTCATTCTAATGTCTTTCGAGTTTAATAGGTGGAAACACCTAGTCATAAATTTAAAATATCGTGACATTCCAATCTAAGATTTTGTTGACGACGGTACAATAATTTTGTGCCCTACCTCATTATTCATTAAGGTCCATTTGCACCAAAGTTTTTAAATTGAATTAAATAACTAAATTTTTATATTGATAAAAATTATGATGATGATGATGAGGTGCTAATGCTAAACAGGATTAAGCCTTAATTTGAATTAAAGGTTTTGCAGCAAGTGCCCCCTTGCTTTTGCTGATAAGGAAATTTTAATTCATTTGATAATTGGCAGTTTTATAAAATTACTAGCTGACCCAGCGAACTTCGTACCGCCATAAAAATAGGGGCAGGTGGTAGAAGGGTGAAAATTCCTGGTTATATGTAATTACTAATGCTGTATCATAAAAAATTTCAAAAAAAAAAATCTAAAATTGAAAAAAATAAATTTAGGGGTGGATTACCTTTAACATTTAGGGGGATGAAAAATAGGTGTTGTCCGATTCTCAGACCTACCCAATATGCACACAAAATTTCATAAAAATCGGTCAAGCCGTTTCTTAGGAGTTTAACCACAAACACCGCGACACGAGAATTTTATATATTAGATTCCCATTTAAAGATAGGTACATAAAGCTAGGTAATAGTGGACTTCCCTTCCAGGGCAGTAACCTGCAGCTTAGAGAAGACAATTAAATAATATTCGTGATTTTGTGTTTCTGTCGCTGAGTACGGGTAGTATACATAATCAACAGGCCGGCAGAGTCGGTCCGGCAGTATTAATGTCGATCAACAAAGCCGTCCCGTAGTAATTACTGCCTAACATTAATCTACACATTCGATTTTACCGCCCGGCTGTGCCTATTAATGCTGGGCCGATTATGTGTGTAGCTACCCTTCGGTTACAGAGCTCTACAGGAGACGGGTTTAGGGTAAGCAACAGCGCGAGTAATATTTTTGGTACTGCAAGCGTTCTTAAGCGATATACATGTTTATCACCATTTTAATAGAGTATCTCCTAGCACATTATTAAAGTCGAAAAACTACATAGCGCTTACTAGCAATGCATTCCAGTAAATTTTTATAAAGTGCCTTAAGCTTTCAAATACATTAAATACCAATACTTTATATTAAACTATAATAGGGGTGATGACGGGGTACAGTAAACGAAATTCTATTTAGTCCGTCAGCTAGATGATCAAAAAATAATGGACACGTATTTTTTCTTTGGGCAATCAACCAAAAAATTACAAAGTTATAGCGCGTCAAAGTTTGGGAGTAGGGGCTCGTGACGTCACTTTTGAGTGAATTTTCACTTATATGTGTACTCAAACGTGACGTCATGCGACTTTTCAAATCAATGTATCTCTGCAATGTTTATATAATGTGAAAAAAGAAATAATACGTGTCCAATACTTTTTGATAATCTACCTGATGAAAGAAGAAAAAAAAATTAGGCATCATCCCTATTCTTTTTTTTTATATTGATTTTTATTTCTATCGCAGATGCAAAAGTTTTCAAAACACGAAGCGCGGAGAGGTGTGCCGTATCCCTGGATGTACGGTTACGCCATCTAGCAGCGGGCAGCCCACACCGATACGAATGCCGCACGTTCAACCAGAGACATTTAGACTGTTCATACAGTACGTTTACACCGGAAAGGTATTAAATATTTCGCATTATATTTCTAACATGATATTTTGTCATAGTTTATAGTTGGATTAATAACTCGATATAATTTAAAAAATCCAGCAATAGCCTTTAGCGCCATCTGTTAGGCTACAGCAAAATCTAAACAGAAGCAAAGCTGTTTGTAGTTCTACTGCTTCGACGCAATGATGCATAAATGACTTGATTCGACAATAATGAAAAATAACAATCAAATAAATGCATACACGTTATCTATTGAAATAAAAATCAATTGCTGTTCGTTAGTCTCACTAAAACTCGAGAACGGCTGAACGGATCTTATCTTGGTCTTGAAATGTTCGAGGAGGTCTAGGGAAGGTTTAAAAGGTGCGAAAAATTCGAATAATGGCCGGGAAAACCTTAAAAACAGCAAACGAAGCCGCGGGCAAAAGCTAGTATTAGTATAAAAAAAGAAAAATATTTGTTTAAAATAAAAAAGCATTTATATTAAAGTTAATACAGCGCCATCTATCGATCATTGCAACAAAAAGATGCTATGCTTATTAGTTGAAAAACTGTAAACTATTATTGTGCTGTTATAGCTAGGCAAAATTTAATGTTAGAATATGGTATTATTTTAGTTGATACAATATTGTTATTGTGTACCTTCAGAAAATAGTCTTTTTACAGCTGCTACTTCAAGACTCAGGTGTATTTGAAATGATGACCCTGGCGGCTGATTTAGGTGTTGAAGATCTTCGGGCAGCATGTGAAGATCATGTTACTTCTACATTGAGCGTGGAAAGCGCTTGCACACTTTTAGCAGCGGCTATGGAAATACAAGATAGACCAGGTTTGAACTAATCATTAATTTCGTTTGTGTTGACATAGGCGATGGTGGTGTAATGGTCAGCATAGTTGCCTTCCAAGCAGTTGATCCGGGTTCGATTCCCGGCCATCGCACACTTTTTGCCTTTTTTATTTTAAACTTTTCTGACTTCGCTATCATATCTACAAAATTATATATTTTATCAAAAATAACTGTATTTACTGAATTATAAATATTTTTATTAGGTGGCTATGATGGTGTTCTATCTATATATACTTAAAGATATTTTGTGTGTGTGTTCGAGTTTTATTAATGTAAAGTGATTTTCATTCTTGCGACTAGCACCCCCCAGTCAAAAAAAAGGTCAATTTATAGAATGCCGCCGCCCCCTCTCTGACCGTCCCCTTCTAAGGGGCCGATCGCATCCGATGAAGCCTTGAAGGCCTGCCCGGCCAGAGGCAGTCCCTATGTATCCAGCTGTGGGGTATCCATAAGGATTTTTCACCCACTCCCCCTCAAGGGATGAATTACCCTCTTGGATTTTCCTAAGCGGGGACAACCGTCCAGTTAAACTAAGATTAGTAATTAAATTAATTTTTAACTTGTATTGTCCGCCCCTGCCTCTGACGCACATGCTGGAAAACAGCCTCTTGTTCTTCAAGCTATAATTTATTAAATTCATTTCCTTTAGTCTTGACTTGAAGTAAGAAAAAAAGAATGAATACATCACTAAAAAACTACAGCCAATTCAGTAGTAATTATCAGGGATGTTAGGGAGCTCCGTAACCGTAACCGAAACTATCGGATATCCGATATAAAAAAATCTCCGTAATCGTAACCGAATCCGATATAAAAGTTTCGGATAATATCGGATAGGGGCAGAGCCTAATTGAGACAAGTTTGTTTTGATCGGCCAGGTGGTGGCCGACACACAAGCCGCGCGCGTTCTTTGCATTGTTTGTTTACTCCTGCTGTCGTATTATCATAGTCGTAACTAATTTGTGAGCAATTTTACATACACGAATAGTTTAGAATTGGTTGAATTGGTACAAAATGCGTCCTAAGTCAAGTGTAATTTGGATTTTTTTGATGAAAGGACTGTCGATTCCGCAAAATGTAAACAATGTGGTAAAAGCTTTTCACAGAAAGGAGGTGGTACTACATCGCTAAAACTTCATATTAAATCACAACACAGTGATAAGTACGAAGAACTTTTGCTACTGGATAAGGGTATCCAACAAAATAAACCACAAACACCCAAACTGCGTACACCTTTACAAGATTGTAAAAATGAGTTGACAATAACAGATTCTATAAAAAATAAAAGTGCCTGGGATGAAAGTAATACCACAAAAAGAAATTTATAAGTTAGTGACTGAAGTGATTGCGTTACAAAACTTGCTATTTAATTTTGTAGAAGATGTGGGATTTCAAAGGTTAATGCAGTACTTTATAATTTAATAAGTTACTTAATTTTCACTTAGTCTTAATTTTACATCGTCTTACATTAACTTATGATAACATTAAACATGTTAAAATCTTATATGTTAGAAAAACACGCATCTCAGATATGCTCAGATATACTCGAAAGTTCAGGTTCCGTCTGAAATTTGTATTTTACACTACAGCTCTACACCGAAGCGAAGCGAGGGCGGGCCACTAGTAGTAAATAAATATGTCCAATTTGCTCTCCAAATATATGTATAATTTTAATATTTTCTTCTAATACGAAATTACTGATTTAGTATAAGTAATAATTTTGTAATTACATTTTTGTTTTTGTAGGTATATATTCTCAATATTTATTTATTATCATTTTTTTTCTAAATAGCTATAATAATTAGACAAAGACTGATTTTTGTTCCTACCACATAACATAAAAATAAAACCATTTTATTACCTATTTATATTTTTTATTTCACTTCTGAAATTCCTTAAATATCTAATATCCGTAACCGAAATTATCCGAAACTAACGAATAATCCGAAATAATTTCATATCCGTAACCGTAACCTTATCCGGTATAATAACATTCATATATCCGTATCCAATCCGTATCCGAAATATCATATCCATAACAACCCCGGTAATTATGTAAGTATTCGTTAATTGTATACCTACTTAAAAAAAAATAGAAATCCAGGTGCAGTTTTTTTATTGCATCAATCAAAAATTACTCATCAATATTATAAGATGACCGCCACTATAGTAAAATTAAATAAGCAAAGTAATTTTTAATATTGGAATCAAGATTGGTACAATATTTACCTCTGTTTTAAGAATGAGACAAAAGGCCTCTGTTTAGACTATCTGACTGTGCCCGGGTTTGGTCTCTGCATTCAACAATGTAAAATGAACTTTAGTGCCGGGACTTCACATGGCCATTCGATTTGTTGTCTGTCATTTTGACACTATAGTCCGGCCGCTCAGAGATTGCGTTTCTGACAGGTCGTGTCAGTTCCTTATGGAGACAGATTATAGTATACTTTAGATCTAAAAAAAGAGATGTTCGAAAATTAACTCTAATTCTATCACCATAAGGAACTGACACGACCTGTCAGTAACGCAATCTATGAGCAGCCGGACTATAAGTTGTCCTTATCATATTTTACAGGGAGTGAAAAGGAGAGACTGTTATATTGTAAGTTGCATCTAGCAAATATGAATATCCATGTGAAGTGCCGGCATATCATTAGGCCGCAATTAATACATTAAACAAGCACAACTCTTCCGAACAACACTTACCCAAATTTTTGTGAAAACTTGCCAGGTTTCGCCGTTTTTTAATGTTACATTACTATTTTCTATCCATGTTTTACCAAACTGAATCTAATCTATGGATTCAATCATAGACAGATTCTTCATAGATTTTTATTTTTCACCTCCACTTTTTTAAATAATGTTGCTAGTTAATGCACGAAACTTTATTTATTTATTGACGTTTCGTAGCCTTTACAGGCTTTGTCGTCAGAATCAATAAATAAAAAAAACTTTCGTGTATTAACCCGTAAAAACTAGTTTTATTTAATGAGTGATGTGCGTGAAAACCTAAGAAACAAATCTAATGTTGCTAGCCTTATTTTATTCTCTGATTATGTTTTTTAATAATATATTTTGATGATCGAGTCATTTATGTATTGCAAAAACTTTTTGAAAATGTGTTGTTAAAACAACACCTTGCTAAAGCAAGGACATTTTTTAAAATTGATTATAAGAACAATTATAAAAAAATTATAAGGACGATTCAAAAGAGCTTTTTATAAGTCAATTTGAATAAAGTTTATTATTAATTCATTGCAATCAAAAAGCCAGGTTTTACTGTTTTATTATATATAGAGAAAAACTGTTTCTTCCGATTGGTATTCTGAGAAATTCATTGCCACAAAAGAAGGTTACTATTATATTATTTTACACTTCACGTAGTTGTTGTAGTTGCGTTTTTATCCTTACTAGGTAAAGTTATAACTTTTATTTAAAATTTGGTAGTTTCTGTTACTATACCATTATATATGGTTATTTATTTAAAAAACATATACCATTATTTAATAAATATAAGCGAATGAATAAAATAAATCGAATGCCTCGTAATTTTTAAGATTTTGTCCTGGCAACACAAAATTTGACAGCGACGCTTGCCTCCTATTGTGAAGCCGGTTTTTCAGCGGGATTTATTTCCACGGTTCTATTTTGTTTGGAAGAGAAAATAGTCAATCATGGCATACAAAGGCCCACCGAAAGTTCAGAAGGTGATGGTACAACCCATCAACCTTATTTTCCGATATTTACAAAACAGAAGCCGAGTGCAGATTTGGTTGTACGAGAACGTGAATCTAAGGATCGAGGGGCACATCGTGGGATTTGATGAATACATGAACATTGTGTTGGATGACGCTGAAGAAGTTCACATGAAGACTAAGAACAGGAAGCAGATTGGCCGAATAATGATGAAAGGCGACAATATTACATTGATCCAAAACGTTAATCCAAACGCTTCTTCGTGATAGGTTATAAAAACTCTGTGAAGTGATATTTCATTCCTAGCCTTTAAGTGAGTGTATCGATAAACACAAGCAAGAAGTCATATTTTGTTTCACGTGTCTCATTAAAGTAATTAAGGTTTACAAATTGGCTTTTATTTCACAAAGACATCATATACCGCCTACAAACATCAATCAATGCACAGGACTTAGGGTAAAATATTGTTCTTTTGCATAAGACAAGGGAAAGTTAATCCAAATCATAACTGTAAAGTTAAGAAAGTAGAGGTTTTAGTGTATTATTTATCAAATCGAGATTTGTTTAGCTTGGGCCAAAATATTAAATTAGTATAAGTTAGCAAATTATCTGGTTTGCTTAAAGAACAACCGAATAAACAATTCTAAGTAGTTGTGGTACAGTATTGTGCTAAATTTGATTAGGTCTAGTTCAATAAATATTGCTCAAAAGTTATAACAGTTATATCTGTAGGCCTGTTCGCTAACTGCTTTTGACAGATGGCAATTATAATCACTGAGCTATTGATGATGGTTACACACTGTAAATATGAAAAAAGTTGAAATCTCAAGGAAATATTACTAAAAATAAATAAATTCCACTCAGACCAGGTAGTTGATGGGACTCATTTCTTATGCTTATAGTGATGTCTATTAGAGCCGGCCTATTTGGAAACTTTTTCTTTGGTTACCTACAATAAAGAGGCCAGCTATAATAGACGTCATTATCATCAAAATAGACAAAGCTTTACCTATAAGTAGGGCTATTTTATCTGAAATTTGGCAACATGGACGAACATGAAAACTGGATTTTGGAGGCCAGAACTCAGACAGATCAACAGGTATTTTAAAGTAAAGTACTGATAAAAATTATTTAAATTGTTATAAATTACCTTTTTTTGATGATGCAGACAAACAGGCTAGTATTCCACCTGATGGTAGGTGACCACTGCTCCCTATAGACATTTGCAGCACCAAGGCAAGGAAAGGGTTTACTCTCCTTTATGATTTCAGCGGGACTGCTGTTATTTTTGGAAGATAAGTAGCTCGCAGAGGCTGTTCAGGAGATGGGTGACTAAAACTGTATTCAAGGCCCTTTGTATTGGTATGTCTGCCTCTGCAGTGGTAATTAACTACCAACAGGCACCGTCCATAATAGTCCTTTCTCCCGCTCGACATGATTCTGTGTATATGTCGTGGCCACTGTAATATTATCTATATTACCGTGTCGTGGCCATATCGTCGATTTGCTCACTTCATGAAATAGTGAAACATTTCGGGCCCTGAAAGAAGATTTAAGCCTACTATTGTAATATGTTGGTACATATTTATTATTTCTATATATTTGATAGATATCTAAATATAAATGTGTAAGTTCTTGACATGTTTGATGTTTAATATAGAAAAAAAAACTTTAATTTGTTTATTTTGGTTACAAAAATTTGATTAAATTTGTTTGTGTCATTCGGACTTAAATAACAATAAACAAGTTCTTACATATTCTGGATTTTTAATAAATATTTTATGGACACCCTAATTATACGATCCGGCCAAATGTGGATGACCAAATTGTTGAATGTTGACGATTTAATGATCAGTAAGTTGCCCACATCATGAAATGTGACCATTACATGAAGTGAGCAAATCTACGATATGCCCACGACATATATAAAGTAGGTTTGCCCAACTTTATATCACAATACCGCGTCCGATGATTCACCAAGCTGCTTACAGATAGACTACGCGTGCCATGGAAGGCGCTATCCATACTTGTGGATACGCGTTCACTGTTCTTCTTTGTGATGGGAATGCGTGCCATGCGAATTGACTTGCTGGCACGCGACAGTCTGTTTTTGGTCGCAAGTCAAGGGAAACTTGCACGCCACTTATTTATTTTGACGGCAAAATGAACGCATCGAGTTTCAAAAGTGAATAATAATGATAGTTGAGGCGGGTCGTTACGTTCCCTAAAATATGGTTGAGCGATATGCGTCATGCTCGTGAACGGGTGCTGCCAGCGGAGATGAGTCTGCCCTAACCACTTTGTTATTTAAGATGTAAATGTTTAGTTACACCTAATATAAATAACACTATTTGTATTTATACTGTATGACACAGCAAACAAAATGCAGTTGAACAATTAATGTATAATTTCACATTATGCAATGAAAGGTGATCTTCATGAATCATCTCTGAAGTCATTTTTCAACTTTACGACTCTGTAAATATTAAAACAGGGAGAAAAAAACAGAACTTGCTGAGTTTCTTGCCGGTTCTTCTCAGTACAAGGTCTCCCACCGTAGATTTACGAACCGATTGCGTAGCTTCTAGACATTCATGAGTGCTTTTAACAGCCTAAACTGAAGAAATGATTATGATTATAGGCGGGGCACGCAAAGCATCTGATGTTCTGGAGTTGAATGCTTATCCGATGAAGGCACGGCCAGCGTGTACAGACTACGCGTAGCAAAGAAACGCGCTATCCGTACGCAGCTTTATCATTCACATACATACTCCACAGCCGGATGAGAAGTTGTACCTGACTCTCAGGCTGACAGGAAGTATAATCGCATGCTATCTCTGGCTGGGATTGGAATATAAAGTTACGTCGAAATGCATTATGGTGGCCATACACACTACGAGAAATCGTTACGATTAGACTGTACCGTCCGAACGGTACCGATAAATCGTAGCGTGTATGTTATAAAACTGCACAGTTTCCTATACGTAAGCCACGTACGATAAACTGTTCCGTTCGAACTGTACAGTCTGATCGTAACGATTTCTCGTAGTGTGTATGGCTACCATTAGACTTTTTGTCTTCATCAGGGCAGATAAGAAATTATGTGGAATTATTGCTATCATTTTCAGGCGGCAAAAGTGCTTCTTCGTTCATGGAGCGCTGCATCGCATTCATTGGGGACAACGCAGCGGACTGCGTCAAATCCAACGCGTTCCTCAACCTACCCAAGGAGGCGTTAATCAAACTGATTTCATCAGACTTTGTATGTATACACACTTCCTTCTTATATAGAATAGGTGACAAAAATTTCATCCCCATCATCTTGATGCGTGGCTATCCACAACCGTGCGTTTTTGTCGAAATTTTTTACCACGTACGACAAAACTGTAGAATATGTTGTCGCCAGCAGTGTTTCCGGACCGATACGACCCAAAAAGCTTCAAAAAAGAGCGTACTCCTTCCTTAAAGGCCGGCATCGCATTTGTGATACTCCTGGTGTTGCAAGTGTCCATGGGCGACGGTGATCACTTACCATCAGGTGAGCCGTCTGCTCGTATGCCCCCTAAGGTATCTAGTATATTGCAAGTCACTTAATCTCACTTTTCATTTGACGTAAAGTATGAAATGAAATTGAGCATACAAGTAACCACCGATTTATTTCTGACTCGCTAACCAACTGGTTGATTGTTAGCAGCGATCAATTTATGCATGTAAGTTTCATCATCATCATCATCAGCCTATTAATGTCCCCACTGCAGGACCACAGGCCTTTCTTATGGACGGGATAGTCAGACTGGGCCGTGGCCCACCACGTGGGCCCAGTGCGGATTGGTGGGTGCCAACAACTGCAGATAATTAGCGCAACACCAAATGATTAAAATTTTGATGTTGGTTGAGAGGATGATAACGATAAAATGAATCAGGGTGAAAAAACAGCCCTTGCCAGTCTCTTTTTGATTCTCTTTAGAGCAAGGTCTTTCGCAGTAACTTAGCGAACTGATGGCATTGCAATTTGCTTTTCAATGATCGAGTCTTGAGTTGTAATCTACTTTTTTGTTAAATTCAGTTTGTGACAAACAAACCAGGCCTTCTAGGGTAAACGTTAGGTTTCGTTGCTGTAGGTTGTAGAAAGATTACATTGTGTTTTCTAGCTGTGCCTAGAGGAGGAGGAAGTATGGCGGTGCGCCCTCGCGTGGGCCAAGCAGCGCGCCGGCGTCACGCAGCCCACCGCTCACTGGACAGAAGAGGAGCGGGCGAGGGTCTGCCAGCATTTGGCGCCTCTGATGCAGCACGTGCGACTGCTGCTCATCGGTGAGTATTGGTCTACAGACTAGAGACTGGATGGAATGTGATCACTTCACTGTTATATTGTGTTTGCCCCTGCGACGCAGCCCACAGCTCAATGTAGTGAAGAGGAGCGGGCGAGGGTCTGCCAGCACTTGACGCCTCTCATGCAGCACGTGCGACTGCTGCTCATCGGTGAGTATTGGTCTACAGACTAGAGACTGGATGGAATGTGATCACTTCACTGTTATATTGTGTTTGCCCCTGCGACGCAGCCCACAGCTCAATGTAGTGAAGAGGAGCGGGCGAGGGTCTGCCAGCACTTGACGCCTCTCATGCAGCACGTGCGACTGCTGCTCATCGGTGAGTATTGGTCTACAGACTAGAGACTGGATGGAATGTGATCACTTCACTGTTATATTGTGTTTGCCCCTGCGACGCAGCCCACAGCTCAATGTAGTGAAGAGGAGCGGGCGAGGGTCTGCCAGCACTTGGCGCCTCTCATGCAGCACGTGCGACTGCTGCTCATCGGTGAGTATTGGTGTACAGACTAGAGACTGGATGGACTGTGATCACTTCACTGTTATATTGTGTTTGCCCCTGCGACGCAGTCCACAGCTCAATATACAGAAGAGGAGCGGGCGAGGTTCTGCCGGCACCTGGCGCCTCTTATACAAGACGTGCGACTACTGTTCATCGGTCAGAAGTCTGTCAGACGAATAGACTGGATGGGCTGTGATCATTTCCCCGTTTTTCTTTTTTTTTTGCAACGGGCATTTCAGCAACTTGACATTCTTTTGACGCCTGTTTTGCATGTGGAGGATGTGTTGCCGGAGTCAAGCCCGTCAGCCCAGGTCCGCCAAGAACGTCGCCAGGGTTTTCACATTGGTGATTGTCTCTTGGAAGTTTCCCGGTCAACGGAGAGGAATTTTGCTCGGTATTTGGCTACTCCATTGCATTCCAGTAGAACGTGAGGGCGCCAGTAGGGCGCTGCCTGAAACACATCCGCTGGAAAGGTGACTGTTAAAATTGGCATCTTCAGTAAAAGCACCAGATATGTGCAATGTTGGTTTACTTAGCTGTAGGAGGTTTTTGGTGAGGGCAGTGATCACTCGTGGCAAAGTGAGTTTGGCCTTTATGCTTTTATCTCGTGCCTACCTCTAGACGCAGCCCACAGAGTACTGGACAGAAGAGAAGCGGGCGAGGGTCTGTAAGCACCTGGCGCTTCTTACAGCACGTGTGTTTGTACAGAAAAGTAGGTTCGAATTTACCCTGACTACTCCATAATTGGATATTGCCTACTCTAAGGTTACATAAATGTTTTGACGTGGTTTTGTGCTCGTTCCTTTGCGGTAAATAAATTTCAAACTTAAAAAATATAGTTGGTGTTTTGGTTGGTTATAAGCTTTTGTTTGTTTAAGTATCCCCCAACACAAATAGCAGTAGTAGTGTTGTGTGTCGTAGTGGACACAAAGAAGCCGTAAAATGAAAGCCAAAATGTTCTTTAACTTCTTTTAATATAATTAATAAAGAATCACAAAATGACACAGATTATTGTATGAGTTAAAAAAAATAAGTAAAAACAGCACTATCAATATCAATTCGCGGTGTTCCTGTAACGCATTATATGACAATAGTGGAATAAATTTGAAATGAAATTACCTAAACTTATGTTAAAGTTGCTTGTGTTTCGATTTTTACAGATAGCGCGGTATTCGCGGAGGAGGTCGAGCCTACTGGTGCTGTTCCCATGGAGTTGTCATTGGAGCGATACCGCCGCGCCGCCCTCCACGCCGCGCCGCGCCCCGCGCCCGATGCTAGAGCCTTGCCACGGTACTGTATACTCCACTACCCATACTAAACTAGCCACACTACATTACCCACACTACACTACCCATACTTAATTACTCACACTACACTACCCGCACTACATTATTCACACTACATTACCCACACTACACTACCCACACTAAATTACCCACACTACACTACCCACACTATATTAACCATACTACACTACGCACACTACATTACCCACACTACACACTACATTACCCAATCTACATATTCATGATTATATTAATATTCCTACTGCTGAGATAGGGGCCTAGGCTTACATTAAAACAAAAAGGGAAGATACGGCATTCGCGGCTCAAAAATGATCTGCTTAAATTGTGGTCCACGACCATAATTCGCTTTAGTCACAATTTGACATTCAAATACGCTGCATGTAGACTCAATGTAACAATATTGCGTATATTCTGTGTTATGAAGATAAAACAATGCCTTCGATGCTTTTAAAAAGAACAAAAATAGTTCAAAATCAAATGCCCCGGCAACGCTTTTCATTCGTGAAAATGTGAAATTTTTTTTTCTCAAAAATCACGGTTTGTCGTGAATATTATTTACGTAATCGCCATTTTGTAAGCAAGAAAAATACAACAATACGCTGCGTTGAAGCGTATAGTTCTGTCTCGCTCGCTCGATTGATGTTTACGAGTATATACAGACGTGTGCGTGGCGAGAGTTGCTTATGTAGTTGAGTCGGATCATATTTTATTTGATGCTAGTATGAGCGTACCGTATCTACCCTTTTTGTTTTAATCTAAGGGCCTAGGTAGAATGGAGAGATGGGCGGTAAAGTGCTATCTACTGGGTGCTAATCACCATGACATGAAGGTTCTCAATACTATGCTATTGCACTTATGCTTTAATAATACCACACTTCACCAAATAACACTATGCATGTCACATTACACAATTCCACACTACACTTCATTCCATCATATGACGTATAACACTATACCACGGTAATAATATCATACAGTATTCTATCTTCATACAAACGGTCGGAAAGCGAGTCATACCTACGCCACTCGAGTTCGATGTGCTCCCGGCGTGCACCCAGTCGCGAATGCGCCGCGCCGCAACGACGACCGAACGGTCTGAATTGTTTTTCATGCAGTTAGCCGTGCTTAAACGTGCGTTTTGTATTGTAAATATTTGATTTAATTAAGTAGATACCTACATAATTTAGTATGGAAAAGAACAAACGACCATCAATATCGTACAACAGCACAATTGCTGTTTTTGGTTGCTTGAATTCTTCAATAACACACCCAGAGATATCATTTTTTAAATTACCTGAAATATTGGAAAGTTGTCCTTACCTTTATAGAATATTTTTTATGTACCTATCTACTAGTACGTAATTTGTTTCTAATATTTAGGTTTTTCCATCGGGCAAAATATCTGGAATAATATATAAATAAGTGGTTAGGATGAAAAAAGAGACAATCGAGTAAAATAACCTACACTCGCGTTAAAAACAAAACTAAATAAAATACTGTAGGCGGGCAGCCCTACCGCGTGCTAACCCAGCGCTCGGCTGTAGGCATTTATTTTCAAGGACAGGGCGGAGTCACAATACTGTATGGATAATATTACCGTGACTATACTTTATATTTAAAAAAACAAATACTTTTTTTTTGTTGAAGTTCTCCCGTTTTAGGGAAGGCAAAGGGAACAATGCCCATACAGCCTGGCCTTTAATTAAATTAATCTTCTTTTTGTTTTTACATTAGAATGTCGGTGTGACGCATTCTAATGTTTCTTGGAGTGTTTGGCACGAAATGTATCGAGTTGGCTTTTTCGATAAGCTTCTGTGAGGTAGTCAACACTACAATAAAATTCTCACGTCCACTTGACCGGAATAGCGTATATTTTAACGATTCCACTAATTCTTCAGTTACGCAGACAGTTGTTACACAAAACAACACCAATTTTATTTCACAATATCCACTATGAACGAATTTAAGAATAATTCAAATAAGACGCCAACCGCACTCGATGAAATCCCGCCAAAAACTCCAAAACAAATACTTATATAAAAACAATTTACAGAATAATTATATACGTACTCTATGGTGATGTGGGTTTTTTTTTCTTATTGTTCTGTTTTTAGTGTTTACTGGGTTTTTGAATGTTTTACAATACATTAAAGCCACCTTGCACAGGTCCTGCCAGAATAACAGCGCCGACATGGTGAGAGAAGTTATTTCTCACTATGTTAGTTTATGCTGAGTCAGGGTCCTGGTTGGCCGTCTATAGATTAAGTTTATTTTGGTCATATACTATGTTTATGGTGGCCAATAAATAATTTTTCATTTCATTTCAATAAAAGTAATGTCATGTCATATGTTTATATTACAGAATGGCTGTTAACATGTTCGCTGGATCATTGATTCTGCAGCAAGAGAAGAGTGCCTTCCAAGCTGTCATTAATAACTGGTGATTAAAATTTTCATAAGTACGAACTAGTTTATTTAAAGAGAATGTGCGGGTTCGAGTCCCGTCTGCTGACAGGCGCGCGTGGATTTTTTTCTAGTAAAATTTTTCTTTACATTTAAATAATATGTAAATATACGTACATATACACGTTCGACGACCTCCGTGGCCGAGTGGTTTGTACGCCGGGTTTCATGGTGTCGCCGACTCGAGAGGTCCCCGGGTTTGAATCCCGGTGGGGGCAGATGTTTGTGTGATGAATACGAGCATTTGTACTCCAGTCATGGATGTTTAATATGTATTTTCTATATAAATATACTTATATATGTACAGTATATGTATTCTATCCGTTACCCTAGTATCCCATAACACAAGCCTTATAGTGCTTACTTTGGGGCTAGGCTAATTGGTGTGAGTGTTGGAAATATTTATTATTTATTATTATAATTGTGCCTAATATTTTCATTATTACTTATTACTTCTATATATAAAGCTATCGTGATAGTGGCAATCCAGTTCTTCCTAGTTGCTTATCGTTGAGAATGAACCAGGAAGAATGGAGATATAGACCAATAAAACAAAGAGATGGCGCTGCCTTACAGCCTAAGAAACACTGGAGAAAATTCGACACGGCTGTCAGGGCTGCGGTAGGATAATGGTCAGTGGAATCGCCCGGATAGCGAAGGGTGCGGGTTCGAGTTCCGTCTACTGCCTGGTCCGCGTGGATTGTAATCTAGTAAAATTTTCTTTAGTTTTAATTGTATATAGGGTGATTAACAACATTTGTAGTAACTTAAGGCATCTATTTCATCATCATCATCATCGGCATCATCATTGGGTTTCTGTGAATTATACAGGTAAGTATATCAAATTATGAGACTAGGATATGACACTGCATTTGTGTGTATCATAATCTTAGAGCCGGACGTTGACATGACAATGCAGCCACTGCCAATCACTACATAGTATAAAACAAAGTCGCTTTCTCTGTCCCTATGTCCCTTTGTATGCTTAAATCTTTGAAACTACTCAACGGATTTTGATGCGGATGCATAATATAGTAGAGAAACACTAATAATTTTAGAGGTTTTTAATATAAGGTCGTAAATAAACACTTTTTTGCGCTTACATTGCAAACGCTGGCTGAACCCAACGAGATAGATCAAAATAATGTACTACAGTATTGTACACCTTAAAAAGGTCTACAAAAAAGTCCGCGATGGTATATGCCTATCTCTTTGGTATAACCCACAATAACCATTTTTTAATTACTTATTACGAGAAAATAATGGCTTATTTACGAACAAGCGATTTTAAGCAATACAGCATTAATCCTTATCCAATTAAGTACCTTAAATACATTGTGCGTGTAATATAGATCAATATAACCCTCTACAGCATGTAATTTAAATGAATATTTTCGAAGTTATTACAGATTTAAAATGCAGGAACATACCGGTTCGGGCAGTACTGGCCGGGGGGCCGGCGGCGGCGCGTGTCTTTAGTAATTAGGTATTTAAAGAAAGTCATTGTGTTCAATAGAAACCTGAGAACAAAAATATAATCTAAACTACAGCTCTACACCGAAGCGAAGCGAGGGCGGGCCACTAGTTTTAAATAAAAATTGTTTCTGTTATTTACAGGTGCGGCACACCGAAGCAGTCGTGGCGTTTAGTATTCCGCGCGTCGACGCACGGCTACTCGGCGCAAGCGTTCCATTCGCACTGCGACGGCGTGTCGCCCGTAATGGTCGTCGTGCAGGTATCATCATCATCATCATCATCATCATCATCATCATCATCGACCCATGACTGCTGGACATAGGTCTCCCCTAATGCACGCCACTGCTCCCGATTTTCTGCCACTCTCATCCAGCCCACTCCAGCCAGCCTACGAATGTCATCATCCCATCTTGTCTCAGGGCGTCCCACACTACGTTTACCGAGTCGCGGTCTCCACTGGAGAACTTTACGGCTCCATCGGCCGTCAGTTCTGCGGCTAATGTGACCAGCCCACTGCCACTTCAGTTTGCTAATTGCATCATCATCGTCACCAGCCTATTAATAAATCAATATTTCATAATCATAATCTTTAAGATTTTGTTATTTTTTAAGCATTTAACTGCTTAAATGATAAAAATCCACGCGGACCAGGCAGCGGACGGGACTCGAAACCGCATCCTTCGCTATCCGGGCGAATGCACTGACCATTATGCTACCACGGCCCTATTCGCCGCGTCGAAATTTTCCTAGCCTTAAGCTGCAAGGCAGCGCCATCTTTTCGCATTGTAGGTAAAACACAATGTCAAATGAATACTTTTTCAAGTATTAAACATTTGAAAGAAGAAATAGCAATTATAGTTATGATTTTATTAATTTTTTAAGCATTTAACTGCTAGATGTTTAAATCTAAAGAAAAGTTTACTAGAAAAAAAATTAATAGGGCCGTGGTAGCATAATGGTCAGTGCATTCGCCCGGATAGCGAAGGATGCGGGTTCGAGTCCCGTCCGCTGCCTGGCCCGCGTGGATTTTTTTCTAGTAAACTTTTCTTTAGATTTAAACATCATAATCTTTATTGCTTCATGTTGGTAAACACATGGGTTCCTAAATTTAAAATAAAATGTTTTTCTCTTCTGAAGTTACTGCTTCTATTTCATTTGTTTTGTTATTTAAATATTCAATTTGGACTTTTTGCTTTCCTATTTTTCAGGTATGATTTAAACCAATTATAAGCTGTACCTCGTACCCCTGACCTATATAATTTGGATAATAAGATTTCATGTGATACTCTGTCATACGCCTTGGACATGTCCCAGAGCACACTTTTTATCGTTCATATGTTGAAGAGCACCTTGAATATACTTAAAAACAGCAAGAGTTGTTGTTCGCTTTTTTCTAAACCCATTCTGACAATCATCTAAAATATTATTATTTCCAAAACTCACACTAATTAGACTATTAACAATATAGCTCAGCCGTGCGAACTCGGTCGCTGCGTTGATCGTACAGTTCTGTCTCGCTCGCTCGATTGAATGTTTATTTACAGACTAATAATATTATTTATCAGAATATTCAAGGTTTGGCTGGCAAGGATTTAGATTTAGAACTATTTGCAAAGAGCAAGGATATTCATGTTATGAAATGAATGAAATGAAAAATCTTTATGGGCCATCTTGTTGTTAACCGAAGAACAAAAATTAAAAACTAGATTTAAGACGGCCAATCAGGACCCTGCCTTAGCTTATGCTGATACAATGACAAAATATTTTCTCACTGTATCAGCGCTGGTATTCTGGCAGGGCATGTGCGAGGACGTGTTTGGCGCTATAAAGTAAAAAAAAAAACAGGTATATTATAAAAGAATACTTAGTAATAAAAATAAAATAAGAACAAAAAAGGACATTTCGACATTTTATTTTTTTGAAAAATGATAAAATTACATCATAGGCACACACAGACACGTACACATACATACACACAGAGAGATATATATACCTCAGGTCAAATTCGGTCACATGTTTAATATAAAATAATTGAAACAAGTTTATTCATTATGTAATCATGTTATCTGTTTATCTGAACACTGGCTTAAGTCTTCTGAGGTGTCTTTTAGCATAAACAATTTTCAAATGATAAGTGCATATGTTCGTACTGCACCTATACATGGTGGCACATTAATTTTTGTAAATAAAAATATAAAAACTAAGGATAGGAAGGACATAGTTGGCCTCTCAGTAGAACGCATTATTGAGCTATCCTGTGTTGAATTCAATGAATTTATTATAGTATGTGTATACCGACCCCCTCTAGGTAACATCAGTGTTTGCGAATCAGTGATGAAGAATGTCCTAAAAAAGTCAAAGTAAAAAAAAAATAGTTTTTGATTGTAGTTGTTGACTTCAATATAAGCATTCTTGAAAATAATACAATTTCAATTTCACTATTCAAATGTTTTAATTTGGTACATCAATTTTTGAGCAATTTTAGCGCTGAACAAAACGCGTCAGGGCTGCGCATGGGTACGACTGCAGAGACAATCGGCGCAACGCACGCCCACCCGCGCACCTCGTTTCCCCCTAATACACCTTCATTTTTACTGCTGCAAAATAACGGTCAGCGCTAGAGTTTCGTCACAGAATATATACACTACGCGAAAAGAAACGACACTTAAGCATGTGTGCTCGTAAAATCACCCGCGGCTATGTGTGGGTGTCTGGAGGTGTGCGGGCGTAGAGAGGGCAGTCGCCGACTGCCTCCACCGAAGGCATGGCAGTAGTGAAATAGTAAAATAATAGCGTTGTACTGCATTGCACGCACGGACTGACTACGCTACGCAATCTTATTATTATTTAGATAGTAATAAGAATTATAAAACGAATCGAAAAAGCAAAAAATAAATATATAACATTATAATTTTTATTATTTTTTAAAGCATGTAACTGCTTGATGTTTAATTCTAAAGATTTTCTTTATAACTATAATTGCTATTTCTTCTTTCAAATGTTTAATACTTGTAAAAGTATTCATTTGACATTGTGGGTTACCTATAATGCGAAGAGATGGCGCTGCCTTGCAGCTTAAGAATGGCTAGAAGAATTTCGACGCGGTCCGTGAGGGCCGCGGTAGCATAATTGGTCAGTGCATTCGCCCGGATTGCGAAGGGTGCGGGTTCAAGTCCCGTCTGCTGCCTGGTCCGCGTGGATTTTTTTCTAGTTAAATTTTTTTTTTAGATTTAAATATATAAGAGTTAGAAATTTTATAGTAGCTACATTAAAAGATTAAAAATTGATTATAAATCAATCCTTCATTACTTATCCCAGTATCCTTGAATCAGTTTTCTTTTAATAACTTACTATGCATAAATATTCATTGGCACAAGTCTAAATTCCAATTCGGTTCTAACCTAGCACCTACACGCTCCTGCTCAAGGTCACTGACGCTGGAACCAAGGGCGGATCCAGAAGGGGGGGGGGGGGGGGTCATGACCCCCTGGCCTGGGTCCATCTGTACCCACTTCACTATCTGTACTTCACAATCTGTACCCACTGTGACTTGACCACGACTAAATGACCCCCCCCTGGCGCCAAAGCTGGATCCGCCCTTGGCTGGAACTCTCACGTACAGAGAGTGTCACCGCTGTGGTTTCGTGCCGCGACTTAGGCTTGTTGAAAATATATCGATGTATTGATCTATCGATATTTTTTGTTCGATATATCGATATTTTTTGCCGATATATTTTGATTCGATATATCGATACAAAATAAGCGATATCGAAATTCGTATCAAAAACGATATTTTTTTAATTATTAGCATTTACCTGTGAGGCCCTGCAATCATTTTCATCATTCGAAAATAGGGTCTATTTTTAGGGAGATAATTTTCGTTCCATTATTATTCCGCGTGTCATATTTCGTGAGATACTTATACGTACGTAACGTACGATATTTTTGGGAAAATTGTTCCGATATATCGATGTTTTTTTCGCGATATATCGAAGCCGATATTGATATTTTTTAAAAGATCGATGTATCGATATTTTTTTTAACTTTCGACATCCCTACCGCGACTCACAATGACTATGTTCACAGCTATCCCGCGGCGAAGTGATAGGCGGGTACTGCGAGGCGGCGTGGGGTAGCGCGGGCGCGGGCGGGTACGTGGCGGCGCCGCGCGGGTTCCTGTTCACGCTGGGCTCCCCGCCCTCCCCGCCCTCCCCGCCCTCCCCGCCCGCGACCTACCCGCTGGTCAAGAAACCGTTCGCGCTGTGCTCGCATCCGGAGTAAGTACCAACATCTGGGCTCATCTGAACGTCTCCGGACCACTTACAGCTGACTTGCTAAATCTCTATTCAACTAAAACTAGATTCCACTCATAGAGAAATGTCAATGTTTAAATCTAAAGAAAATATAATTAGAAAAAAATCCACGCGGGTTCGAGTCCCGTCTGCTGCCTGATCCGCGTGGAATTTTTTCTAGTTATATTTTCTTTAGATTTAAACATCTAGCAGTTACATGCTTTCAAAAAAAAATATAATGCCAATGTTGTTTTACGGGATACTAGGGTAACGGCTAGAATACATATAATGATTCACAATATAACTATATTTATATAAAAATACATATTATAAGTAAGCACTGTAAGGTTTGTGTTATGGGATACTAGGGTAACAGATAAAATACATATACAGTACATATATAAGTATATTTATATAGAAATACATATGAAACATCCATGACTGGAGTACAAATGCTCGTATTCATCACACAAAAATCTGCCCCCACCGGGATACGAAACCGGGACCTCTGGAGTAGGCGACATTTTGAAACCCGGCGCACAAAACACTCGGCCACGGAGGTCGTCAATTTGATATTCTGTATGGCTTAAATCTAGTTATATTTAAATCGAGTTCAGAAAAACTTGTTGCAAGTGGCCCTTATATAGTTGCCTCGTAGTGTTGGTAAGACAAAGTACTACTCTCGTTCCGAGGCCGTTGAGAATGCTACCAAAGCAGGGGAATCAATGAAGCATTAAAAGGAAGAGAGAGAAAGGAGACTGTAGAGGGATGCAAGGTTGAAAGAGAAGGATCGAGAGAAAGCAGGATTAAGGAGAAAGGGAAGCTAAGATAATTACGAAATAGAATCTATACTTATAATAAATCTGTAGAGATGTCAATTTCAGTACATGAAATATATTTTCAAAATAACTACCAGGGGGTGATTAGTGATCGATACTGATGCTAAAAATGCAATCAGTAAATTTTTTGTCTGTCTGTCTGTGTGTATGTTCCTTATAGAAACAAAAACTACTCAACGGATTTTAACGAAACTTGGTACAATTATTCTTCATACTCCTGGGCAGGTTATAGTATACTTTTCATCACGCAATCAATCAATACTAGCAGAGTAGTGAAGGGAAATGTTGGGAAAACGGGAGAAGTTACTCCATTTTTTAAGCTTCCGTCGCGTGTGCAGCCTTAATGGTTAAAGTTACATAGAAATCATGTATGACGGAAATATTCTACATAAAATTGTCTAAAAAATATCCCGCAACAGCATATGTCTATCTTTTATGGTTGACTCACAATAACACGTGTAACTCCTGATAGCTTAGCAGATCGGAGCATTCTGATTATATTTGATACGATTTTCAGTTTTTTTTTTATTATTATATGAAGAGTCTACACTACAGCTCAACACCGAAGCGAAGCGAGGGCGGGCCACTAGTCGGAAATAATAGAAGAAAATTGAGAGTGTGGAGAAAGAGTGACATTTCATGATTTAAATACATAAGGCTAGACTTTTTTACGTCTAGCCTTATGTACTATTTAGGGGCTACTCCCCTTGGCGAAGTCCTTGGCCCCTCCCATGGTACGCTATTGAGCTTCAATGAACTGCGGGTCCCCTCATCCTACTAATTTAAAGATTTTTTTTACTAGATAAAATTCAAATCTGTTAAGGTTTCAAGCAGAACTCTAACCTGCGTCTTCAGCTGTCCGGGCTGATGCTCTAACGGCTTTGCTACCCGAGATCTTATGATTGTGTCGAATACATTGTCCTCATCCGGTCATTTCTTTTATTCATCATAATCATCATCAGCTATTTAATGTCCCCATTGCTGGAGCACAGGCCTTCCCTATGGATGGAATAGGGAAGTTGGGCAATGACGACCTCCGTGGCCGAGTGGTTTATACGCCGGGTTTCATGGCGTCGCCGACTCGAGAGGTCTCGGGTTCGAATCCTGGTGGGGGCAGATGTTTGTGTGATGAATACGAGCATTTGTACTCCAGTCATGGATGTTTAATATGTATTTCATATAAATATACTTATATATGTACAATATATGTATTCTATCTGTTACCCTAGTATCCCATAACACAAGCCTTTACAGTGCTTACTTTGGGGCTGGGCTAATTGGTGTGAGTGTTGGAAATATTTATTTATTTATTGCGGATTGGTGGGTGCTAACGACTGAAGATGCAGCCGGGACCAACGGCTTAACGTGCCTTCCGAAGCACGAAGGAGCTCGAGATAGTAATTTTTTGGACCCATCCAATGACCACTGACGTAGGAGTAGACGATATTTTGAAACCCGGCTCACAAAACACTCGGTTACGGAGGTCGTCAATTTGATATTCTCTATGGCTTAAATCTAGTAGTCTATATATTTCAATCGAGTTCAGAAAAACATACTGCAAGTGGCCCTTATATAGTTGCCTCGTAGTGTTGGTAAGACGAAGTACCACTCTCGTTCCAAGGCAATGAATGATAGGAAAGCTGGGGGAAAAATACATAAGGCTAGACTTTTTTATGCCTAGTCAAGGACTTCGCCAAGGGGGGTAGCCCCTTGGCGAAGTCCTTGGTCCTTGAAGAAGTAACAAACATACACACTTATAATCTTTCGCCTCTATAATATTAGTGTGTGATAAGTAGAATCTCTTATCTATTAGACAAGTCCGTCCGTCCGTCCGTCCGTCTGTGGTGCTGTTTCAGCGGCCAAACCGTAAGAGATAGACAAAGAGAATATTTAAGTTATAAGTTAAGAATAGTCTGATAAGACTACAAACCGGATTTGAGTAACGTAGCACTTCCGGTTTTCGAGAAATCACGAATTTCAAACGAAACCACACAAAATCTCCGAAGTTCTCAATTAATTAAGTACATTTTTTTTAATCAGGTTTTGGTGAACATTTGGTTCACTGGTTTGCCAGTAATTATTATTGGAACAAAGTTCCTTACGGCAGGCTTGGAGGGGATAGGGATTTTGCTGCGCGACCGAACTGAAAGAAAGTGTGATAATAAATCCGTGGAAAAAAGTGCGTGGAATAAAACCGTTAAATGAGACGTGCGCAGGCGCGACAGTCGCACACACAAGCGAGTTTGCAATTTGTGTCGATTCTACATTAGCCGAAGGAACTTCGTTCCTACCTGGTGTCCCACGACACCACATCATTTTTGTTAATGTTTTCAGTTGCGGTCCAATATTCGGCGCGGGCGCAGACCTTCTGATCTCCAACAACTGTAACACCAACAGCGACAGCTACAGCAACCTGCATTCGTACGGAGCCGACCCCGCGCCCCCCTCCCTCGCCCCCGACTACAACTTCACAGTGCGAGACTACGAGCTGTTTACACCCAAACATAACTGACCAGTGACCTGAAATTAAATCAAAAAGGGAAGATACGGTACCCTCAAACTAGCATCAAATAAAATATGATCCGACTCAACCACATAAGCAACTCACACACGCACACGCCTGTAAATAAATATTCAATCGAGCGAGCGAGACAGAACTGTACACTTCAAAGCAGTGCGAGCGAGACGGCGAGTCTGCTTCCGAGTCCGCACGTCTGAGCTGTATCGTTGTCTTTTTCTTAATAACAAAATGGCGATTACGTAAATAACTAGTTTTTTACGAGTTAATGCACGAAACTTTATTTATTTATTGACGTTTCGTAGCCTTTACAGGCTACGTCGTCAGAATTAATCTTTTATTTAATTTGTCGAGCTACCTTCGAAAGACTTTTATTGAGCGTTCGGTTACTTCAATGTTCGATTTTTAAAGTTTTATTGTCTATGTATGAATCTCTTATCTATTAGACAAGTCCGTCCGTCCGTCCGCCTGTGGTGCTGTTTCAGCGGCCAAACCGTAAGAGATAGATAAAGAGAATGTTTAATTTTTATTATTTTTAAAGCATGTAACTGCTTGATGTTTAAATCTAAAGAAAATATAACTAGAAAAACTAGAAAAAAGGCCCGTGAGGGCCGCGGTAGCATAATTGGTCAGTGCATTCGCCCGGATTGCGAAGGGTGCGGGTTCGAGTCCCGTCTGCTGCCTGGTCCGCGTGGAATTTTTTCTAGTTATATTTTCTTTAGATTTAAACATCAAGCAGTTACATGCTTTAAAAATAATAAAAATTATAACTATAATTGCTATTTCTTCTTTCAAATGTTTAATACTTGTAAAAGTATTCATTTGACATTGTGGGTTTACCTATAATGCGAAGAGATGGCGCTGCCTTGCAGCTTAAGAATAGCTAGAAAGAATTTCGACGCGGTCCGTGAGGGCCGCGGTAGCATAATTGGTCAGAGAATGTTTAAGTTATAAGTTAAGAATAGTCTGATAAGACTACAAACCGGATTTGAGTAACGTATCACTTCCGGTTTTCGAGAAATCACGAATTTCAAACGAAACCACACAAAATCTACGAAGTTCTCAATTAATTAAATACATTTTTTTTAAAATCAGGTTTTGGTGAACATTTAGTTCACTGGTTTGCTAGTTTATTATTTAATTTACTTAAGAAAGTATTTTATTTAAAATTCTTTTTTGTAATTTTGCGTTTATTTATTTGACCCTAACTACCGTAAACTACCACCGGTTCCAAAATTGGGAGACCTTTCTGAGAAGAACCGGCGAAACAAACTCAAGAGAGGCTTTCTATCTCCTTCTTATATTAAATTATGCAAACAAAAAGAACTAATAGTATCTGTTGGTCTTGCAGTGTGTGCTCGGGGTTGGGATTTTATCTCCTATATAATGGGTTCCCAAGCTGGTTGGCATATACCAACCATCTTCCCTATTGAAATTTGGATATTTTTTAATCTCAATAGCCTCGCGTATCATTCTAGCAACGTCAATAAATAAATAAAGTTTCGTGCATTAACCCGTAAAAACTAGTTTTATTTAGCATTTAATAAAATATGATCCGACTCAACCACATAAGCAACTCACCCACGCACACGCCTGTAAATAAACATTCAATCGAGCGAGCGAGACAGAACTGTACGCTTCAAAGCAGTGCGAGCGAGACGGCGAGTCTGCTTCCGAGTCCGCACGTCTGAGCTGTATCGTTGTCTTTTTCTTAATAACAAAATGGCGATTACGTAAATAACATTCGCAACAAACAGTTATTTTTGGGAAAAATGTTTTTAAAAGTTTTACGAATAAAAAGTGTTGCTGAGTGATTTGTTATTTGATCTTGAACTATTTGTGTTCTTTATAAAATCATCGAAGGCACTGTTTTATCTTTATAACACAGAATAAACGCAATATTGTTATATTGAGTGCACATTCAGCGTGTTTGAATGTCCAATTGTGACTAAAGCGAATTGTGGTCATGCACCACAAATTAAGTGGATCACTTTTGAGCCGCGAGTGCCGTATCTTCCCTTATTGTTTTAATAATATTCACCACCCAAAATAGTACTCATTACTGACCGGGATCTTTAAATGAAAAACGCAGTCATCATGAGAATTTTTATTATATAAGTACTCAGTAGGGTAGTAAAAAATTAAGCCGTCCAGTTAGATAAGTGACATTATTTTGTGCCAATTATGATAAGTTCAATGGTATTAAACTGTTTCACTCGACTGATTTTGTTTCTTTAATAACATTAGGGTAATCACTATTTTTTTTATCTTCGTCTATGAGGTAGATAATCCAAAATTATTGACACGTATTTCTTTCACATAATTAAAACATTACACATATATATTGCTTTTAAATGTCGTGTGTCGTCACAGTACAGTTTTTAACTAGAGATTGGTGACGATTCTGGCATGATTCTCTAAACCTAAACTAGACTACAGCGCATCCTTGTCATTACACTATTGTCTATACAGAATGAAAAGAAGAGGTGTTAAAGGAGATTGCTCAGCTTCTACATGTTTGGCCTAAAGACCAATAATCATGAAAAATTGTTTCCTAGATTCGAAATTATATATAAATTACTGTAGAAACGAATACTATTGATGGACACCCCTGAGAACTTCTATAAACCATATTCAATGTGTATCACACCTTATATTTTATTTATTTATTACTTTATAGTCAGGCAACTTAGGCCCATAGATAGATACCTTAAAGTGTAACATACATACAGATTATAATGTGTTTATGGAGGTGTTTGGCGAAAAATGTATAGCAATTGACTTTATGATGTCGCCTACCATCTATAATAATTGTCTGGGCACATTTGCATGTAGTGGAAATGATAATATAGTTGTGGATATAGCCATTAAAAATGATTCGTATGTTTTCCAAACCGGTAAAATTAAAAGTCCTTTTTAAAGTAAATATATTATACAAAGGTGTCCGTTGAAATCTAATGACTGTAAATTAAATTATAAATTACGCCAAGAATTACCGTGTATGTCAATACTTTTTGTGCGTTTGGGTCAGTTTGAGCAATCTCCTTTAATTTTAAATTTGGAGAACCACACCAGAATCGACACCAGTGACGTCACGAGCCCCCATTTCCAAACTTTGACGCGATTCATCTTTGTGACTTTTTGCTTAATTGACAAAAAAATATAGGTATCCTTTAATGTTAATCTACACAGAGCAGAATGGATAAGGAATGTCCTAAAACATTTTTGAATCCCTCGCTGAATTCTGTAATCTGGATGGTGTTTTTGTAATGAAATCTCAATATTTCAACGGTAACTATTCAAATTAAACGGGTATGTGTCAAGACGAAACTTGGCGTGGCGTTGGTAATGAAATGAATCAATATTATTATGCGAGGCGTATGTTGTATCACAATTGTTTTTGTTCACAGGGATGTACACAATAATAATAATAATATAATAAAATATATCTTTATTCAAATAAGGTCATACATTGCATAATAATAATGTAAAGTACAAAATAATGGATGCCTGAACTAGGTTACAGTTAAAATTGTACCTGTATTTCAGGCTTTTATGATCTAAAATAAATATACAATATCTTCTATAGGCACCTATTTCTTAACGAGTTGGGCCGAGGTATTTCTCGTGAATTTGTTTTGGAGTGTTTCAACGAGGGCTCACTTACCAGAGCCTATTATTCTGTATACTGGTAGAATATATTAACCTCGTACTAACAGTGTTGTAACTAATTCTGCTAAATTTTAAAGCTTGCCAAAAGAATTTGGCTTTAGCCACAAGTATATTTTAAAGACGTAGAACTGAGGGTCCACCAACTGATTAGATTTTCTTTAATTTTAATCATTCAATAGAGCTCAAATTTTTGTAGGTAGTCCTACAAATTACCTTCTAAATATTTTACCATTCATCAAAATTATTTAAATTGTGGTAAAAACCTAAGTTTTCCACTGTGGCCTCCCGTAGGGCACGCACGTCAGCGTAGTGCAGGACAGTGCGCGAATCGCCAAACACCAAAACGATACAGAAAGGTAGCTACTGCTTATGGGATGATACTCTGGAGGAGCTCGATGGCGCAAGTGGTTAGCGCGTTCGGCTACGATAGTTGAAGTTAAGCAACTTTCGCAGTGGTCGGTCATTGGATGGGTAACCAAAAATTTAGTATCTCGAGCTCCTCCGTGCTTCGGAAGGCACGTTAAGCCGTTGGTCCCGGCTGCATCTGCAGTCGTTAGCACCCACCAATCCGCACTGGGTCCGCGTGGTGGGTTATGGCCCAATCTCCCTATTCCATCCATAGGGAAGGTCTGTGCCCCAGCAGTGGGGACATTAATAGGCTGATGATGATGATGATGACTCTGACAAGCTCACTTACTGCGGGGAAGCGCTATTAGGCTGCTGTCTTATGAAGAATACCCTCCAGCTTCCTCCGATTTGATACTTAGTACATCCATTAAGAATTTCACTTATTAGCAAATACCACAGAACACAGAAGAGGTTAGAAGGGTGCTCATAGATCGTTTGTACAGGAACTGATGTCGCGGACTCGCCCCCACCGTTAGCTGTTAAGCTAATAGCCAATCAAATGACGCGACATCAAACAATCCACCCAATCAGCACCCGAAAGCAACGACGCAATCAGAACCAAGTTTTGGTTAAGTTAGGAGTATTGGCTCACACATAACTGTGGAGCGCCTGCCTCGCTCATAAGGCCCTTAATCATAATCAAAATCATTTATTCAGTTTAGGCTGTTACAAGCACTCATGAATGTCTAGAAGCTACGCCATCGGTTCGTAAATCTACGGCGGGTGACCTTGTACTAAGAAGAACCGACAAGAAACTCAGCAAGGGCTATTTTTTTCTCCCTGTTTTATTTATTTACAGAGTCGTCGAAATTGAAAAATGACTTCAGAGATGATTCATGAAGTCACCTTTCATTAGATAATTATTAAATGTACATTAATTGTTTACCTGCATTTTGATTGCTGCGTCATACAGTATAAATACAAATAGTGTTATTTATATTAAGTGTGACTAAACATTAACTTCAATATTAAGGAAGTTAGGGCAGACTCATCTCCGCTGACAGCACCCCTTCTAACCTCTTCCTGTATTCTGTGGCATATACCTTATCCATATCCTTACTTAGGGTACGGCCAGAGTGCACTCAGATTCAGATTCAG